TTTTAAAAATAATACGAAGCTTGCGTGACTCACGATTCGAGTTGCGATACAGGCTTGTTACTAGCAATGTTCAGTTTTAGTCTTAGTACTCGTAATTATGCTACAGTATAGGTTTTTAAATGTCTCCAAGGTGCAATTAGTGATCGATTAGTCATCTGAGAATGGAACGGTAATCGATATCTGTCAGTTGCTTCCCATTGTTTGTTTTTACAACCATATTATGTATAATAATATCTGGTTAATACATATAAGTACCTTTGTTTTCTCACTCGTAGTTACGCCCGCAGGGTAAAACGTAACTATGAGTGATGTATCTATGCATATATACCACTTTTATAGCTATGGACATGTATATATAAGTAAATTTTGGTGTCAATATGTATTCAAGGAGAGAGAGAATTTTCTATGCTTAAACTATTCTGCAACTTCTTCAGTCTGTCTATCAGACAAACAAACACATTTTTCTAATAGAATAAAAAACCTACGGATACCTTTATTCGTAATGGCCCTTAATGTAGCAGAACGCGTCAGTAGCCATTGCCACGATATTTGCGATTCTGAAAGGCAGTTTGGTCGTCCATTCTAAAGCTGTCCCCTGCAAAATTAATTCTACTACCCAATAAAAGTGTAGCAGTCTTTATTGAGCTATACGACTGAGCGAAAACGACCAAAAGGTTATTGAGGGACCGTTTGTTCTATATTTTCTGGAAATGTTGCAATATTAATATCGTTAGATGAATTAAGTATAGTTTTAAAGTGCATGGATGTGAAATTAAAACGAACGATAGTGCTTGAATTATGTGTGGGGTTGTGGGTGCCAACGCAATAGTATACCGGGGTCCCGGCCTAGAGCAGGAGGAAGAGCAAGTTGGATATTTTTTTTGGAGAAGGTAGGCAAATAAACATTCTTGTTGGGAATCATTTTGCACCGTCCACGGACAAGATCATTACCAAAGGAGCTACCAACGATAAAATAAGAAACTTCACCCCATTGATTTAACACAGTTGGCGGGTTGACTGGTTTTGCCACTAGGCTGGGCAGTTGTGGGTGGTTTTACTTCCCCTACGTAGCAACAGATTGTTGTTCCAGGTCTAGGTGTGATGTATATACATATAGGTATATACGTTAAAATATACATATGTTTTTAAATGCATCCAGAACACGGGATAAAAAACTTAGCAAATCCTTTTATTCTTTTTTTAACTAACGTTAATCATTCTTAAGCTTAAAAAGAGAAAATAATCTGTGTGAAATTTACTTATCTGTATTTGAAGTTAGCGTGTCAGAAATAAAACGTTTGGTAATAGGTATGTTCATTGTTCTGTGTCAATGAATAATATACCTAATTATAATGGCAACTTGGAATAAAATAGCTTATGAGTCAAACGTTATGCCCCATAATCGATATCAATCGCTTTTCATAATTGAACTGACAGTGATTGAAAGACCTTCAGATATTCGAATTAGATTTACATTTTATGTCTATATTCGAGAATTATTATTGGAAATAAGTATTTATTTTTGAAGAAAACGATGCAATCTGACGTCGGTGTTTGATTAGATTACTAAGAAATTTTCGTCTTGAGAAAATAATACTGCAATTCGGGATCGAAGTAGGTACCTCATATCAAGACTAAATTAATAAGGCATTCATTTACCCAAATGTTCTCAGCTGGGATTGCGTATTGAGTAGGAGTAGGACCAGGGAGGATTTTAGTTAGTAAGAGTCTGACACTCCCTCTCGCCTCAACCTGGGCGAGAGAAATCATTGGATAATTTTCCCCTCACAAAAACTTTTATCTTTAATTAGAGTTGAAATTTTCAACCTGTATTAAATTAATGTTCTTCATCTTTGTTTCCTACTTAGCTATTGTGGGTAATAGACTCAAAGGTCTCGTAAGGACTCCAAAATTGCGAAGTCACTGCGGTTTTTCAATTCAATCGGGGAAGTGGAAGACAGAGCTTGATTGTGAGACACAAGTGGAACTAAATTAAATTGTTTCAACAGTCATGCTTCTGAAATCCTTTAAAGCAATTTCATTTGACATTTCTCTTTATGTAGAATGACGTTACGTAGAACCTAAGTACCTGTCTCTAGATCATAAACCTAATAGCTCTTTTAAATTACTTCGATAATGTTTTATGTGCACTCCAAACGAACATTAGGACTTCGTCTTCAGCATTTTCTCTTCAATTGACCTTTGGGTGATAAGGAGATAAGAAAATAATGGATGCTAACAACAACCAATAAACAATTTGAACTATAAAAGTTAGTATAAAATTATTTCGTTATTACCAATGAAAGTAAAATGCTCCTCTTCTGCTTTAAACCCATGTACAGATAACTAGCTGGCATTATTTCTTTCTTTTTTCTCTATATAAAACGTTGCCCTACACTTGGATTTTTCCTGTATCTCAGACCCGAAACAACAATATGTGGATTACACAAAGTGTTGTTCCGTGCCGGAATCGAATCCCGCACGTTGTACGGCAGCCGCCGTGCAGTCAATAGGTTTTCTTGGGATTTTAGTTAATAACTAGTCTAGGTATAAAAAATCACATCATCACACAAAAATCATATCATCAGCCTCGTAAGAGCCTACTGCTGAGCAAAGGCCTCTTGAGACTTAAGGTTTCAACATTAATCAACACATAAATTAAAAAAAATCACTAAACTTCCCAAGAACAGCTGGACCGATTTCACTTAAGTTGTTTCTGTGATTAATTAAAGATTATTATGAAAATTAGTGTGGATAGCTAGTAAATAAATACCAAACTAGTAAAATTTGGTATTAGGCTCGTAACAACTAGTTTTTATTTGGTACATTAAACTATCTAAATTACCTTACGACAGATTGACGTGTTTATGTAATTACGGTGCGAATGGACGTGTAGTGTGTGTGAACTGATATAATTCATGGAGAACATCTCGATGCTAATACAAGAATATCTATACTCCTATACCAATATTATAAAGAGGTAAAATTTGTAAGGTTATATGTAGGGGGTAACCTTTGGAACTTTCGTGAGACATTCTAAATTATTTATTATGTTTTCGGCTTACTCACGTAATAATTTGACGAGATACTCGACTAGTTTCAAGCCATGCTAGAGGCCCATATTCATGAGCAGCATTCCGCGACACGCGACTCGAACGCGGCTTGAAACTAGTCGAGTATCTCCTCAAATTATTACGTGAGTAAGCCGAAAACATAATAAATAATAAAGTATTTGTTAAGAAAAAATAAATAATCACCGTTAAAACTATTTTACGGTTGTTTATGATTGATGATGAGGTGTTATATCAAAATCAGCCTAAAATATTTCACTACTGACCAAATAGGGGGCTGGCCATAATCCCCACGCATGGCAAACGGATTAGAGATCGATGAAAAAAGTCATACATGCTGCAAATTTTGCCGATTTACCCTTGGTCTAATCTACTGTAGTTAAAGTTTGTAGCGATAAACAAATACATAAATATTTAACATTTTTTGACGAGAATGATGAAAACAACAATATTTTGGGCACATTTTGAAATAAAACTGAAATTTCTTCAGTAGTTTTACTTAGAAACACTCAACCGACAAGACCGCCAAAGTAAGTTTTGAGCTAATAAATCAAATATTTCACTTAAGATAAGAACCATTATTATTGTATAATGTTCGTACTCATTAAGTAAACTTGTAAGTAGTTATTCGTACACAAGTTTACCGAGGGCAAACCTGTTTTGCAGAGGTGTTGAACTTTGTTTTAAAGTTATCTAATCAGCAGATTTAAATAAAGGAAAGTAAACACGCAGAGAATACGAAGGTCGGAGAACGAAACGTAACCAATATACCCGCCGAAATAACCGAAAACTTTGCTGATTTAAATTTGTTTTGTATTATTCGTTCTTATTTAACATTCATTCATGATATTGTTATTTGCTATTCGTGTATTATTACAATTTATAATTAGCGCATTTCTTAGGAATTTGAAGGAAGTCGTTCATAGGTTCATATTCATGTTTACCTATAGTTTTCTTTTTGGGATAGGAAAATTGTACAATGAATTCTTGCGCCTTGGGTGTTTTACATATAGTTTAAAACATGAATATAATTGAAACAATTTTAGTTTACGTTAAAAAGAGGGCAAAACTCTAAGACTCTACTGACTAAAAACATTTATGTTATAACATTGTAAGTACATTACAAATTAGTCAAACTCCAGAAACTAAGAAACTCCTTTCGTCTTAAAACTCTTTTGTCCAAAAACATAAACTCTACACATAAAACCGAAATTCTTATGTTCATTAGCCTTTATGTCCAACTGATGAATGGACAACAGTAACCATTCATAGTATAGTATAATGTAATAAAATCTATTCGAATTGGCTTGGTCCACAAAACTACTTCTATTCACCATTGCCAAGGTCTAGTATCTGTGTTGAATGGTAGGGGCGTGTCAATATAATGTCGATAACTTTGGTTGATAAATTGCCATTACCCAAATATATCATTAGAGATCGTTGCGACCCTTTGCAGTAGATACAATTGTTTCCCAATAGTACTTACTTCGTAACTTACTATTAAATTGATATAGTTTTAGTATTGGGATACTATTGTGTTTAAACTTGGCTGTTTACAATGTACGTATGTCACCATGCGATATTGAACCCTATTGTGTTAGAGGATTTGAGAGATATTATTGATTAAATATTTTTTTGGGTGCTGCTATGTCACAAGTTGTCATAGAAGAACATGTTTTGGTTTTCCAACTCATACCATACAATTCAAGGATTCTAAAGTAATCTATATCTATACATATATTTCAACGCAAGGGATTTTGTTATGAGGAGTTCTTTGGGGATATGTTAGGGAATCATTGGGCAAGGACTATGGATTGCGAAGATGGGACACACAATTAATTATGTTCGACAGCCTTTATCGTAGAAAGTTATTAAAACATGTTTAAATAAATAAAATAACTTTAACAGATTTATATTTCTTTGGTGCAGGCGAGGTGATGGACTTGATGGCGCTGGTGGGGTCTGCAGTGAACTTCGTGCTGTACTGCAGCATGAGCCGACAGTTCCGCTCTACGTTCACGAGGCTGGCGAGGAAGGTGCTGCCGCTGGGCGCGCAAGGCGAGCCAGTGACCGCGCTGAAGGCGTAGCGCTCCCGAAACGCGACCACCTCGGTCGCGTACCTATGAACTATTGACAAGGTACCAAACCTTCACAAACACACGTAAACACGGCCCATTGAAATTCTCTTAGCAAACTCTTCAACAATCGTTTGAATAACAAAACGAATTACATTAAATTCAAGTTTGTTTTGGACTTATTAAGTGAATGAAGTGTGGAGGCGGATTTACTCTATTACAATGGAAACGAACTTTTTTAATTTTGTAAGTAAAAGTTAAAGCGGTGCTTACTGTTCAACATGTTTTAGTAATTAGTTACTAGAGATTAAAGCTACGAACCAAATTGTTTAATGTTTATATAAACTTAGTTATGTTTAAGTATTATTGTACAGTAACAATTAGGTTTAATGGAGGTTATATTTAGTGTACTTTTTGTCTAACTTAAGGATAGATCCGAACATCAAATGTGTTGGTAACCTTGTTTGGAAGTATCCAGACAGTTTGTTTATTGTTTTATCCGTGTTCGTTCTAAGAGAAATGTTACATTAGTAGGTATTTGTTGTTAGTAGATACATTACATGAATTAATCATCTCCCAAGAACTAAGAATAAGAGAGCTTATAATATGAAGGTGTTTAAGTACATAGATTAGTAAAAATAATCAAAGGTTCGTATAATGTACGAAAATTTCCAATATGTAGAATTTGCATGGAAAGCGACATAATATAATTACGTAGGAGTACCCTAACCCTCTTACTTGTAAACGTGACATTCATAAACCCTTTATAAATACAACTTGTCAATTCTGCCGTTAGACTGGTGTGTTCGAGGCCATTTTAGATTTAGGTAGGTACTTAAGACGTTTTGAGTCAGAGGGTTAAATTTTGTTAAAACTAGTCATTTAAAATGTTAATTGTTATTTTGTTTATAGAGTTACACTTTGTTACTTTACTGTCTTGACTTACAAAGGAAATAGAAACTACGTTTTACTAAAGGTTAACACACAAAGCTACAAATAGGAAACTATTTTAATTAGTTCTACATTGCTCAAGCTTTCCGCCCTTTAGGCATTCAACAAAGAAGTAAAAGAACTTACCTATTGTACTGGAAATCTGTTAGTAACTACCTACGTTGATTTTTCTTTTGTTACTTGTTTTAATTCCAACTAAAATGTTTGCTTCAAACAGCTGTAAAATGTTTTTCTCATCACTTTCATTTTCCAAGTAAAAGAGGTTTAAATAGTAATTGGTTAGAAACTTCTAGAATGACTAGATTTCTGCAACGCATGCGCGTAATTTCATTAGCTACAACTGAACATGTTTAGATTTAAACTTTATTACACTGTTTAGTGTTCACGCCTTGAGTTTGATTTTGTTTTCTAAAAATAAATTAGTTATGCTATTATGATTTCCAACTAATTGGTAAAACGATAAAATATATCAAATGGAATATCGAAAGAAACTGTATTTGCGTAATTCGATATTAATTAATACATCAATCATAAATACGTTTCTAAGTAAAGCTAAATAAATTATAGCGAGCGTAATTACGGATTGTTCTATGTTTTCTGGTCACGTCTCCGCGCCTCGGAAGCTATAATGAAATAGAGCCCAAAAGTTTACGGGATTAATATCATATTACCTCACTGAAGTATTCTTGGAACGTTAAAACAATTTGGCAAAAAAAATTATTTTAAAAGTATTAAGCACGGCACATTAGACTCGAGTTGAATTATTTAGTTTTACAATGTTCATAAAGTACGTACAACTTGTGTTTCTAGAAACGTCTGTGAAAATGTTTAGTAAGATGCCGTGGCGCTCGGTAAAACAGTAGAACAATATAAACACTCATTTCTACACGTAATATTGTTTTCCGCAGACTTGAGCAATGCTCATAGTCCTCGTAAACGTATCTGTGCGACCGTACGGTTGAATTATTAACGTTTCCGAAATACGCGAAGAAATAACCAAGAACCTTCGCAAAACATTATTTTATTTCTACAATCAAAGCAATGTTCATATCCTGTATGACATAAGTACAAAGCCACTATTGTAGCTAAGCCATGTATTACAAGTTTTTTCAAAGACGGGTTTTCATTGTAAACAGCCGACGGCGGGGTACATTCGACCTTCGTCCTCTTGGTAGGATTCCAGAATGAATTAATAAGGGCTCGGTCTGCTATTTGAGTTCACAGGAAGACCCCAAAAAGTACTTTGCCGATATATTGTTCGAAGTGGATCTAATCGAGTGCGATCTAAAGGGTTGACCCAATTGACTATAAAAAAGTTATTCGACGTGACCTATCTAATCTTCTTACAACTTGTAACGCGGAAATAGTTATATTACACAGTACATTAAGCAAAGGGACATCGCATTATGTGTGTACCCGAACGCTAATGATATTTATCAATGAATAGAGTATCGTATTGTATTTGAACTCTCAATGTTAGACAACAAGTGGGCAAAAGCTAGTTTCTAAATTAATATTCATAAGAACTTGTTACCTGAACTAGATGTGGATCAAACTAAGATAAAACAGTAGTGTTCCGAACTCGGCTGAAGTTTCATTAATTTTAACTTGAAGTTTACACTTGAGAGGCTTCCAACTCGCGTTCTTCTACTTCTATATAATTATGTAACGTAAACATGAATCGTTAAAGTATTTATTTTCGGTATTTTATGTGAAAACATTATGGGCGAGTTTACTTTATGTCAGCAATCTCGTTTAATGTATCTACGTTAAATAATTATGAGCTTCACTTTTATGAACTTCGAAAATTACAAATTATTTTTAAACCAAAATATTTTAAATATAAGTATTTTCTTCTGTCAATGAATGAACAAGATAATTGTGATGAATAGGATAGTGATCCATCAGGTATACCTAATGTGAAGAAGATAAATTTGTCCAATAAGTTTATTTTGTAAATAAAATGTCTGTCTGTCTGTCTTCAGCTAATGTATGTTGCAATTATGTATCTATTAAACTTAAGTCGATGTTTTCTTAGGTAGTCAATTTCTAATCAAAAATGTTGTACATACTACTTTGTATATGTGAATGAGACGTATTAGTGAAATATAATAGAGAGTAGAGAATGATAAGATTTTTTACCGTACTTTGTTAAGGCTATAATAGTAATGAGCTGTTTGTTTGTTATTTTGTCCAATATTATATATGGAAGAGTCTTTATAAATATATATATGTATTGTCTATATTATCTGTGTGTAACACTTTCTCTGAACGTGAAAATTTCGCAAACCGCTTCGTGTGATCGTCGACAAGTTTTAACAGTTCCCCCCTAGGGCATCCTTACCGAACGTCGACAGTTTGTGAACCACATTTAATGTATATTCGATAAATGTATTCCACAAATACCCGTACGATAGAAAATTGAGAATATCTAATACAAAATCAATGCTTTATGTGTATCTATCTATTGCTGTGGAGAACGTTACAAGATTACTTTAAGAAAATTGGATTTCTTAACTTGTCAATATTCATATCATAAACATTATGAATCGAGGCGTTAAATTCTGATATTATCTTTAGCTCGAACGCTTTATATGTTGACTTATATACATCTTGGTTGGGGCTAGGGACATAAAAACAAAATCCATCAAAGTTTGGAATGTTCCCAACTTTCGTATTATTTAATATGTTTTTGGTTATTTATGTTTGCTTATGTAAACGTCCAATGGTGTTATGTAGTTGAAGAAACATTGAAGATTCGACTGTTATTATGAATTACTAGTAGACCGCCCCTGCTTCGCACGGGTATACGACTACCCCGGTGTCAGTCATTTGTTTTGCTCGCGAACGGCCACGGCACCGAAAGGGTAGTTAATACCTCTTTACTCTTCTAAAATTTTCACCTCACTATAACGAACAGAACAAAAAAAGAAGTGGTAAATTTGTCCAGGCGTTATTGAGTTATGCGCATACCAACACATTTTTATATATTGATAAAGAGTTTTTGAACTTTGTCTTTAAAACGAGGCATTGGATTAGTGCCAGATGTCATTTGTACCCATGCAGAATGTCACAGCCGAATGAATTACAAATGATCAACAAGTTTGTGCCGAGAAACTTTGATATTTTCGTCTATTTTCATAATATAATGATCTATTCGATGGTTATGGCGAGCTTTTGTTTTACTCCATGGGGCTAACCTTTGATAACAATGTCACGATACCGGAATACATATCGGAGATTTTTATTATGAAGATATTTAGCTGCTTAGTAAACGATAGCTATATAGTACATAATATTATGTGGTTAATCTATGTTCTTTTTACATTATTGTACATAATTACATGTGAGATTAATATGAAACACGTAGGTACAAATGCATACAACAAACGATTTTTATCTTTTTTTTAAGTTATGCATAAACTTCTGCATACATATTTTCAATTAATGTCATTAATTTTATACGATTTTAATTCAAAACTTTAACTTAGTACTTATACTTAAAGAGATTTTATTTTCATGGATATTTAGGGAGTGAGTTTTCCCTCGTAATTGAAGTGTAAAAAATAAACAAATCATTATTTTATTGCGTTCAGATGATATTGCGTGTTTGGTTCTTAATATTAGTAATTGTAACTGTAAGTAAATTACTATAATCCTTCAATTGGATTATCACCATTGTTTTTAATTAATATCTTGATGCCCCATCGATTTCATTTCTCTGCTGACAGTTGTACAAAGTACTAAAGCCCGCCATTTTCTGCAATGTTAATCTTGAAAAATTGTCTCCTTCATTGAAATACATATATTGTATGTAGTAGGTAGGCACGAAATTATGTGTAAAATATTATACGAAAAACTGTACCGTAGTTGGTAAAAATGCACTAAATATGATGTATTGTACGAATATAGGTGATGTTGTAAATAAAGATGATCAATATTTTTATTAATTGTCGCTTCTTTTATATATACCCTGATACCTGATACACATCAATATAACAATACTCACAAAATATTACAAGGATTATTTGCTCCAAAAATATTCTATACATAGGTAGATACTTACAATTGTTCTACAAAAGTAATTGCATAAAAAAGCTAACGTAATTTAAACCTTGACTTTATGAGATATGGTCGAAATTGCATCAATTAAGCTTTTTGTTCGGTTTCCCTGGATAATATTCGTTTCAGAAAAAAGTGATATATCATAATCATCTTTTCTATGTGGTGGCCTCGCATTCTTTCGTGTTATTTTTATTACCTTGTTTCACTTTGTATTAATAAAATTGAATTATTTGATCATCGTTTTACGGCGGGAAAGTAAATAAAGTATTTAATAACTATTTACATTTTAAAAACATAAATACACGGTGAACGTTTCATAACTTTTCACTGAGCTAATTATTATGAAACAAATTTGTTTTTGTTAGCGGAAAAGTTTTATAAAACTGATGGTATTACAGTTTTCGAAGCTATGTAGGATATTATGTCGATACCTACTAAACAAAATCTGTACGATATTTTGAAAATTTTATATAAAATAGTGTTCTTATTTGAGAGGGAAAATCATCAAATGACTTCTCTTTCTCATCTTGAGTGCAGCGAGAAGGAGTTTCGACCACCAATTTCTATCTCCTGCTCCCACCCGAGTAGCGATATGTTATAGTGCTTGACCTGCAACAACAAATGAAATAATATAAAAGAGGGCCAAATAATCTCTTCTTGAAAATACAATGGCAGTACTTTATATGGGTATCGAGACTTATTGTCAAGGTTATTTAAGGGACGTCTTACGGCACCTCTCTCGCATGGATTACGGCAAATCTGCCGTGTCACATGTCTTTGAATTTTTGATTTCACAGAACATTCCTTGGATTGTAAGTATACCTACATGAAAGATATGCTCTTTCAACCACTTTCAAAGATGAATGTGAAAGAGAAATAAATTTGTTTACTTACCGAAAAACTGAATTCTTTTTTGAATTATTGCCAAAATTGTATTTATTATTCTAAGAATTTAGAATGGAACTCAAACAGTACCTAACATTGATAGATTTATAAGTTGAATTAAATTACGATCTTTCTATTTAAAGTTTATCATCATCATTGCACTCGTGCGAAGCCGGAGTGGGTCGTTGGTGATGCACAATGATCAATCATGATGATGAGGCACAGGTCGTGGTCACAAGCAGACTGCTTAATCTCTCACCCTGAGTGTGAGGGAGCTATCTTCCTTCTCACGGTAGTAGGCGATACTCCCGGCGTCGGGATCGAGAGACAATATCCTATAACGTTAATTACTAGGTTCAATTGTGATCTAAGAACCCTAAGGCCGTTAACACAAGTCTGAGACAATCACATCAATAATAATTAGATCAGCAAACATCATTAACTGAATGTGCAAACATAATTACTGGGCTAGGTACATTATATTTAGTATTCATCACTTATGCATGGTCTCCAGTTACAACAACACGTGACATCTCCAAGATCCTTATTAAATATGTATTTCGCTCTTCAGCTTAATTAAATATGGGGCGTAAATCTTAAGACATAGGAACATTTAAATGGCGCCAGTGAAAAGCGTGTGAGCAGCCATTTTGTTTGTTGTGTTATAAATCAAGACAAAATGTCGGTACTTGTTGGAAATTCTCTGAAACATCGGCGCTGAGTTACTATAAACATTTTAATGTACTTACACTTGTTTTACGCATTTTGCTTGCTTTTGTCAACGGATCGGATTGTTTCATGTTGAATTTCAAAACTTATCTTTTTTGGCTGTTTATTATTTTTATACATACTTACATATTTAGTTTTCATTCATTTTGTCCATGCATAATTATTTGTTTCACCTCATATTTTATGACTGCATCGAAATATGCGATGGCGATCCAGGCGTTCCTTGAATACTGGACCAAGATCTCAATAAAGTTGGCTACAAAGCCATCGTCACTTTAGATCGTCAGTCTTTTTGTCTTGGTGTCTCGGCTTTCTTGCCAACTTTACATCCCGCAGTATGCTTAACGACTCGTTCGCACCAAAAGGCAATGAATCTGCATAAAAAAGATTAATGTAGAACCTGCATAATTGCTATAGTGGTTTCTAACAACAATCTGTGCGTGCATTGAATTTATTTTTATCTGTTATATGAAGCAGTGTATATTAGACAGGTTTAATGATACTTTAAAGTATAAGAAACCAAAAATGTTAGCAACAACTTGACGACATACGAATCAAAGTAACAGCACTGGAACCTCAATAATAATTTATAATCACAAGTTCAGACAGTGATGTATAGGCATGATAAATATACATAATGCAGTTTATCATAAAAAAAACTTCAGAGAATTTTGCGAGATCTTGAATTATGCGTCAGTTGTTGTTGAGAAGAACATAAAAATTCACATAACAATTTGATTTGTTTGACTGAAAGATCTTTATTCCGTTGTGTCAGGTGGTGGGAGTGAGTGTTATAGAGATTTACTATTTCCGTGCGGGCGAGAGAAAAATGAATTTCAAAATATACATGAAAAAGTGTGCGAGAGCCAAGCTTCGGCTGGAATGGGTCGGGTTGACCGGAGTTATACCACGGCCTCACAGAAAACCGGCGTGAAACAACCACAGCGTTGTGTTTCGCCGTGTGAGTGAGGTTACCGGAGGTCCAATCTTTCCCACTCCCGATCCCTCCTCAATCTCTTTATATACAAAACCGGCTCCTAAAAGGTCGGCAACGCACTCGTAACTCCTCCGTTGCGAGTGTCCATGGGCGGCGCTGATTGCTTACCATCGTAATACGTCTGCTCGTTTACCGAAAAATTACATATAAAAAAAACTTTGCTTCCATTATTCAGTGTTTATTCCGGTCCCGATAAGCTTGAGTACAAAATAAGATCAGTGAGCGTCACGACAGAAGTGAAAACGTTTCTTTTAAGCATCAATTACTCTGAATGTTACAGAGTCTTGAATTTCAAGAAATACTCAATGGATTTAGGGCAAGTACCACAGATGAAATACAGATATAAGCCCAAGTGGGACATTTCGTATGCATGGAAACATGATTCACGTTGTATTGGTACGATATCGACCGTAATGGCGGTCAACTGTGACATTTAAGCTCTCGATACATTCATTAAGGCGAATTTATACAAAGGATATTATCGTGTAAGTATCAAATGAAGCAAATCTATGTTTGTTGTTTAATATTAATGACTCATCATCAGTTTATAAGTGCCCACTGCTGACCAAAGGCCTCTTCTCACACGGAGAAGGTTTGAGCATCAATCAACACGCTTGCTCAAAGCGGATTGGCGATTTCAAACTTATAATTAGAAATTATGAGTCCAGGCTTCTCGTGGTGTTTTCCTTCACCGTATGTCAGTGGTGTCGAAATAATTATAAAAAGTTACATTGCGCCTAAAGATCTTGGGACACCATTATAAATTTTAATCTGTACAATATAAAACATGTTTAATTCTTTGTATTATACTTAATGTAGAGTTTTTATTTATTTATTTATTTATTTAATATTTTTTGTACACACAGTAAGTTGGACCAGTTTTATTTGCTAAGTAATATCGGAAACGTGAATTTTTATCTCCGCCACACAATAGCGCCTGTTGTGCGACGCAATTCTTAGTAATTAGATTTTTTTCTTTCCCGCAGCCACCGAGATTAAACTGAGTGCAGATTAATCCGGAAATTATCCTCAACAATTTTCTACGAGTCGCATGTCTTGTCTCGCGCCATTTCTCCGCTAATCCCGTTACAGAAAGTCTATGTATTCTTGAGCAGATCTCTAGTTCTTTATCTAATCATATGATTTGATTTGCCCGAAACAAGGAAATTGTCAATACAAACGTAACATTACGTATCTACATATACTATAAACATTTTATTTTTTTACAGTTACTAATTTCAAATTTTCAATGTTTTTTAGTATGGATCGTTATTTCAATCCGTGTACTAAAACGAGTGAATGCGAAAAACGCAGATTTTTACAAAACTATACGTTATACGAGTACATGCAATTTTTGTCAAAATATGTCACATATTTTCCTGCATATTATTTGAAGTATAGATAGCAGAAATTCATAATAACTTTAATTGCTTAGTCACCGTATACCGGTACGCTAAAAGGCCTCTCATTTGCTTGAGAAAACAATAGATGGGGATCTAGTGTAGGCGAAGCTTGAGTGAATGGCCACTTTAGTTGTGCTCAGGTTATTATATAAAACAGAACCACCCTTTATTCAGAAAAGCCACAAATAGAACGTGTTTCCAACATCATCATTATTATTATTATACACAGACTGGTAATTGTTATCAAAGAGCAACACAAATATAAAATAATTTAAAAGCTTAGTTGGAAGCAATTAGCAGAGTAAACAAAAACTTTATACTTCATTCATTTTAAAACAGTTGAAAAAGTGCCAAACTTTAGAGGGTTCGTAAAGTCATCTGTTGGGGTTGACAGAAAATCTATGACAGTATTTTCGAGTACTTAGTCTGACGAACTGGTGGTCAGTAGGCTGAATAGTAAAAATAGGCAGGCACATATGACTACCGTGAATTGGAAGCACGTAATGAACAGAGG